TTGCAGCCGAACTGACCCATAGATTTTCCACCTTCGAGAACAGCTTTACCCTTGGAAGCTCTCATGTAATCGATCCATTAACTGTGGTAAAAACACGATTCTCTGATAATGGGAAAGCTGGTGTGCTATGGCAACGTGAATGGAGACCAAAGTCACTAGTAACTGTCTCAGCTGAGTATGACTCGAAGGCACTTAATGCATCCCCAAAGATAGGTCTTGCTCTCGCGCTCAAGCCTTGATATCTTTCCATGCAAATTGGAATACCTTTGAGCTTGTTACATTCTTTCCCATGAAGTCAACGAGTATCATCTGCTAGCCAAATTATATTGGATAACTACGGATTTGGTGTATCGATAAAAATGTTTTACAAGCATTGTTTGGGAGATGGACCCAGTTTTGGAATTTTCACAATGCCTAAGCTGCGGAAATTTCAGCCGCTGGCACATATAAATTATGATTTTTTGTATTAATGAAATTAATGCCCAAGGTGCTTATTTGCTTTGTCATGTCCAGTGGACGTTTTATTTGATTCAATTGATTACCTGGTGCTGAACTTGCAGAGACACCATTTTGTAGTTTGCATTCTTAAAGACTAGTCTTTCATGTCAGAAAGGAGACTTACTGTTGTTGAAACAGAGTAACGGAAATGGGGAAAACTCCTATAGGCAGAGTCCCAAAGGGGCTATAGGTAGAGTACTAGACAGAGCTGTATGTGGCTCCATAAACAGCTTTTATTCTTAATGTAAACTTTAAGTGCTTTTTAACAAAAACACAACCAACTAAAACCAATTTTACATAAACACTTTCCATCACGGCCTTACGTTTTTGGGAAACATTTTTAGTAATTCTTCACTAAGCGTTAATATGCAGAAATTTTGATAGAACTTCACTAGAAGCAAATATAGAAGTAGCCTTAAACAAGGGTTGAGATTTTATGGTACTAATTAGTAGTACCCGATACTTAGGCCTAGGTTGGAACTGTTTTTTTTCGTCAAAAACCTGCTTAACTTTAAAGCAGCAGTTTAAGGTGTTCGGTAAAAATAAAATATCTTGAGCAATGGCCTTTTGATAGCAGCTTTTAAAAGCAGGCTCTAAGTTGCTTTTCAAAACTGCTTTCAAAAGAAGCATAAATGAGCCTTTAATGAATTTTTTTAATTCCCAAAATACCATCATTCATTTTTAAAAAGGACCCCATCTCCACTTCCACATCCACCACCACCACCACTACATCCTCATCCTCTGCCACCACTACCACCTCTTCCATCACCACCACTGTTGTGTCGGATTCAGCTGCACCAAAATCGATTCAATTGCATCCTCAACTTGTGATACTCACAAGTGCACGAGCCGTTCGGTAGTATAGCATATGTAAGTGCGAGGTCGATCTCACGAGAATTGATGATAGATTGATTCAATTTGATTCCCTGCACAAAACGGAAATGGAAACAAAGTTTAAAGATTGCGACTAGGAAACAATCCAATTCTAAGTCTCAAGCAACTAAGTTAACAAGTTCAATTCAAATTCTTAGATTGATTCTAGCTAAAGTATGATTAAGCCATGGTGTCTGGTTCTAATCTTGTATTCCTAATTCCCTAATTAGATCATTGTTGTTGAACCTAAATTAAGCATTAGAAATCCATTAAGCATAGAAGAATGTTTTAAACAACCAAACATGTATCCAATCCCTGTTGTTGAATGTCAATACATACTCTTCTGATTCATAGTTCAATTCGAATTAAAGCATATGGTGTCTACTCTTAATTCTAACCAAGATACCTAACATACAAGTTTTAACGGTGACCAATCATTCAAACAAACATATTAACTTATAAGCATAATAAATAAGAAGAACCATAATTGAAACTTGGAAACTAGTCAAACTTGAAAACTTAAAATAAGAAATTACATGATAATGAAAAAGAAAGTACAACTAAGAACAATGTAAAGGAAAATTTAGCCAAAGGGTTTTGTTACAACAATTGAGAATTTAAAACAAAAAATAAAAGAATTTGAGGGAGGGAAGAGAGAGGAGTTCTAGAGAGATGTTTGAGAGCTCCTCCCCTTGGGGTGTGTTTGAGAATTTAGAGAATTTGAGAATTTGAGAATTTGAGAAAGAGAAGGAAAATGAGCTCTAGAGAGGTGTTTGAAAGCTCCTTCCCTTGGGGTGTGTTTGAGAACTAAGAGAATTTGAGAAAGATAAGGGATATGAGCTCTAGAGAAGTGTCTGAGAGCTCCCCCCCCTTGGGGTGTGTTTGAGAAATAAGAGAATTTGAGAAAGAGAAGGGAGATGAGCTTTAGAGAAGTATTTGAGAGCTTCCCCCCTTGGGGTGTGTTTGAAAGCTTGGGAACCTCACTATTTATAGGCCTAAGGAAAGTAAAAATCTGAATTGAGTATTGCTTCTACCTACAACACCCACTTCACCAACTTCTCCAGCAAAAACAATTAGTTCATGCATAGGTCATGCATGACAATGCATTGCAGTTTGCTTGTAGGCTCGTTTTGGGCTTGTTCCTCCATTGATAAAATTCTGGAAAAATATGAGTCTTGAAGCTCTTTGTCTTATATTTCCAACCATATGTAAGCAGCTCAATGAAAAATCGGAAATGCCTTCAAATATCATTTTTGGCACAGTAACCCAGATGCTGCCGAATTTCATCTTAAGCTGCCAAAACTTGCATAACTTCCTCTAGAAGCTCCATAAACTAGACTTCCACATCTTTTCAATGGCATATGGCTCATTAGCTGGTTCTTCCTGAGCACGTACAGTCCAATTCACGAAGATGACTGATCTACAGACACAATTTTGAGCTAACTTAACACCAAAATGCATTAAATGAGTCCTTAAGCTTAAAACACTAAAACAAACACAAAAGAGATTAAAATCACAAGTTTAGCTAAAAAATATAACAAAGTCATAAGCTAGAAGGGTACAAAATTATATGTAATTATGCACTGATCAACCACCACTACCATCACCACAACCACCACCTCTACAACCAACACCACCACCACCACCTTCACCTCCATCTCTTTCACCACCACCACCACCTCCACTCCACCACCACCACTACACCTCATGATTAGCACATAACACTTGCAACATCATGTCTATTTTAGTCATTATTCACAGTTATAATACTTTTATATTAAAATTTACCAAACAGTTTTGACACTACTTTTTGTAATGAAAACACTTTAAAAATATTGTTTACCAAATATGGAGCTGCTTTACTTTACAGTTAATTATTTTCAAAACACAGCAAAAATAACTTTTTTTCAAAGTGACAGCAATCCCAAACTGGGTCTTAGCCTATTAGTTTAGCTTAAAACTTACCATAGTCCACCTCACACCACATTTTCACCCTTTTAACCCGCCTATAATCTTCTTCTTCTCCTCTTCTCTTATCTGTCTTCTCCTCTTCTCTTATCTGTCGCCGTTGCTCAACTTCTCTCTCTCGTCTCCACTCACCTTCTCCTTGTCGGTCATCTTATCCATCTCTAGATCTGGTTGGATCTTACCTCATTTCCATTCTATCTCCAAATCTGGTCTGATCTCTCTCTCTCTCTCTCTCTCTCTCTCTCTCTATTATATAAGCTTTGGATGATTCAACACTGATCCCCAAGAGATGGCTCACTGGTGAGCAGAGGCGGCCCATGGGGTGTGCGAGGTGTGCAACCGCATAGAGCCCCCAAAATTTAAGGGCCTCCAAAATTTTCCAAGACAACCCATTAAATTAACTAAAACATGAAAATAAAAATGAAATATTAAATATCACCCCACAACACTACATGCAAGGCACCAAAACCAAAATTGAATTGAATATTAATTATCAACAAATTCTACGACTTAGAGAGTAGAGGCCCTAATTTAATTCATTTTCCTCTTCTCAACTCTCACGCTACAACTCTTCTTTTTATTTATTTATTATGGTTTGAAACTTGTGTTTTCCTTTTCTCAACTCTCAAGCTGCAAAACCATTCTAATATTATTTTCTCTTTCAGTAAGTCTTTCTCACTCTCCTCCATCAAAATAAAGCCATTTCTCTTCAGTACCAGTGTACCACCCTCTTCCATCAAATTTTGGATTGTAAAAACCCAAGCTTTAGCCATTTCCCCAAAATCACAATTCTTTTCTCCCTCCCTTATTCACATGAGAATTCACCAAGCATTGAAATTGGAAAATTAATTTATAAGCTCTGTGATTTGGAAGGGTAACTAAAGAAATTTTTCTAGGAAACTATTTCCAAATGTATTCTTCCCGTGTCAGAAATTTTTGTTTCTATATAGATTTTTTTTTCCCTACTTGTATATATAGGGCCTAGACATCCATATTTGCGCAGAGCCTCCAAAATCAATGGATCGGCTCTGCTGGTGAGATGGTTCGATTTGGGCCAAGCACAACATTATATTATACACAAGAAGTTCTCTAGCGCAGGATGTAACACTGCCATATTATGCATCAAGCTCACAAAGTGGTGAGATTAGGAGGGGACCTAAATGCATGGACTCATGCTCCCTTTTGATCGTGGTGCACTGAACCACACTCAAGAATTTCTCCTTGTCCACGTGGAATTTCTAGATGACATGGAAACATCAACTCAATGCCCAATAAAGGTATAAAAACTTACTTGTAACAAGAATAACATTGTTTTGCTATCCCTAACTAATAACACAATGACATTTGAAAAAATTATCCCACATATCATTGCGTTATTAGTTGGAAATAGCTCCATGTTGCATGAGACTGTTTTTTAAATAAGGGGTCATTATCCCCCACTCAGTTTTTTTTTTTGGAGTTTCACTAAAACACCCAAAATGAGGGCTGAAATTATAAAAAAATTCAACACCCAAAACCCATCATTACACATACTCAAAACCCATTTATAAATACAACCAAAAAATATAAAATTGTTGATTTTGGGGTTGATTTTGGGTGTTTTTCTATGTTTAAATAGTGTTTGAGTTTTTTTATAAATGTATGTCTAGGATTTGGTTTATTTATAGTTTCACCATCAAATCAATCCCTTAACGACGACGTTTACTCAAAAGTTCCCATTTCCCAAACAGCCCTCCTCTTCCCTCCCCACTCCACCTGTATCACTAGATCTCACCCTCCTCCCCTCTCGTAGATCCCAAACTCCCGACGACCCAAACACTCAAAAAAATGTCGCACTCCGAACGCGACACCGTTCCGCTCCACCCTTCCTCCCAATCGGACATCGACGAGATCGAAAACCTAATCAACGCCAGCGTCCAATCGGGCCCCACCACCGTGCTTCCCGCCAAACCCCCAAGTCCGACCCGAGCCTCGATCCCCGTCTCATCCTCGCCGTTCATCCAATCAAACCTCCCGCCGCCAGCTCCCTCTGCCTCCTCCAAACAGAAGCCGCCATCTGTCCCGGCCCCACCGCCCATTCCCTCCGCCAACAACGGCCCGGGTATCGTGCCTTCCGGGTTCGGGTCCCCGCCCAACACGCTGACGGAGCCCGTTTGGGACACCGTGAAGCGCGACTTGTCGAGAATTGTGAGCAATTTGAAGCTTGTGGTGTTCCCCAACCCGTATCGTGAGGACCCGGGAAAGGCTCTGAGGGATTGGGATCTCTGGGGACCTTTCTTCTTCATTGTGTT